ATCCAGAAGTTACAAGTTACTCTACTTACTCTTCTCCTCAAAAAAACATAGAGAACCTTTTCGGAGAGAAGTGTATAGCAACCATGAACGAAAAACACCACCCTATTTCTTGCCAGAGGGTCATACCATTGACTGGGAAACATATTTGGAAGGTTTCATGCGCACGGACTAGTGTTTGGTCTTTTCCGAGGAAAAAGATATCTCATATTGAGATTACAGATATACTGGGGCTTGATTCTGAGCGCTCACTTGAAATTTATTGCCAGGATTTAAAAACTCTACTTGAAGAAAACACATCTTCAAATAATTTTAAGAGAGTAGAAGATGTTGATATGGAAGTGGGATGCAAAAAGAGGAAGATAAATGCCTCTTTTGAACAAATACCGTCACTGGAGTCCAGCATAAGAAAGTATGATCAAGAATCCTGTTCCAATAAATGTGAAAATAATAAAATTGCAGACGGCATCCATGTCCTGTTATCCAGTGAAGAAATGACAATTGATTCCACAATACCCACATTTGATAAGCCTGTTTGTTCTACAGAGAATGAAAATAATGATCTGAAAACTGATATCCTACACGGTAATGAAGAACCCAAAAACCTATCAGGTTTGAGTTGTGATGAACAATCTTTTAGTTTTAAAAACGAAATTGATGGATTGACTAGTGATGTTATATCTGGTAACACAGTAAAGCTGGAAATCATTTCACCAACTAATAATAAAACAGTGACTTTCTTTGAAAATGAAGAAATAAAAAGCAATGCTTTGCCTCATGATGAAAATCTGCATAAATGCAAAGGTGAGAAATCAAATACTGATTCTCATAGTTATATTGATATAAAAAATTTCAAGGCTACACAGGCCATTGCATCAAACAATGGTGAAAGCAAGCCTCATACAACATCACACACTCTTGAAATGCACCAAATCATAAGAACATTTCCATCACCAAATTTCAAAATTCCACTTAGAAAGCCTAAAGAAGAGCCAGAGTCAAAACATAGCTTGTGTATAGTAGATCAGTCAATCGCTTTAGATGACTCCATCACAAATGTACAGATTATGGAGATAATGCATACAAATATGCTTAATGAATTATACACATCCTCTGTGTCTTTGTCACAGAGACAATGCTCTCCCATTAAAGAATTTCAGTCCTCTGGTGATGGACTTTTATGTAGACCTACCCAAAGCTATGATGGTTATTCAAATAGCAGTCCTGGTCAGATTAATTCTGCTGGTGATTATGAAACAAAATTAGACCTTTCTTCAAGCAATACATTTACCATGACTGAGCTCTCAAATAACGATTCTTTAAGCAATATGTACCCAGATAATTTCTGGTTGACTCACCAAGCATCTTCAAAACGCAACAAAAGAGAGAACCAAAATATTCCAGATATTTTAAAAGCTTATGAAGATGATATACTGGTTATAGATGTTATTCAGGATGATCCCGATCTCTTTGGTTTTACCCAAGGAGAGGAATTACGAGGCTCTCCAGACACATCTAGTCCTTTAAATGACAAAAATACATTGAACGCAAACAAACAGTCAATGATACTTTCCTGCAACTTTCCAAAGCAAGAACAGTCACAAGTAGAGAGGTATTGTAGTAACATTTTTTTTTTTTCTTATCTTAAAATACTTTGTTGACAACCGCTTTAAAATGTTTTTTTCATTTTCTCGAACAGCATAATAATTTAGCACTACTTTTATTATAAACGAAACAGGAAAAAGATTTTAGATATTACAGTTTCACAAAAAAAAATCATAAATATAAATTACAAAAAAAAAAACTCACTTCTGTGCAACTGGTTCCAAACCACATATGGCTGTCTTGTAATGGCAGCAGATTAACATAAGGTATATAAATAACTAGAAATAGCATTTTTTTTAATTTTATTTTTTACATGCACCTTGGTGCTACCAATTTTTGTGAAGGGCACATAAAATATATATATATATTTTTGGGTATAACTCTTTCTCAATATATAATGCCCACATTCTAAATATACAATGTGGGCATTGTATATTCCGAAAATGTTATATCCAAATATTTTTTTCCCCCTTCATTAAAATTGGTAGCACTGAGGTGCACTTAAAATATTTTGCGCTAGTTCTATTAATTGGGAGGAAGTACTTACAGTTCCCTTTACTTCCTCCCGGCACACAGAAAGCTGCACTGGGAGTGAGACAGGAGGAGGAGTGAGCGGGTTGACCAATCCTTGGCACCAGGACAAAATTCTTAGTCGCCATGGCGACCTGAGCCCTGCATTAACTAAATAATCTGTAGGTCTAGCGTGCTCTATAAAAGTGGCCATTGACAAAAAGGGAAGTTAGTTGGGTTCTCCGAAAGAAGACTGAAAATCAGGACTTATAAATTGTAATCCTATGCTACTAAAATTGGCTTGCACTACAAGCAATAGGATACCATCAGGGAGTTAAATTCTACTCAAGCTTGTGGCCAGTGGATATTTTGAGACGTAACCATAATTTATAGCTCTCTATCTTTTAATTGCCTTGCTTATGGTTTACAAATGGCCAAAGAACAGCTTTACATTTTTAGATTAAGTTAACTTGCTGGAAAATGCTGGTAATGAGGTTTTTATGAGGAATACTTAAATTGAAATCTTCGTTTTGGACAAAGTGAATTTGATTTAAATCACAAGTCAGTAAGGCTTAAGTCGTGCTTTTCAAACATAGACTCTATTTAAAAGTAGATGCTAGTTATAATTTTAATATTTTGGACCAGATGAAGATTTCATATTTAGAATAATAAGCTTTCAGATTAGTCTATCTGAACTGATTTTGTTCTATACCTTTTGAAATGCATAGATAATGAAGACATTATTGCATGGTGAAGTATCTCCAGTTTTATAGGTTAATTACTCATTTTTAACTTAAAACAATTCAATTAATGGAACAATATAGTGTGTAGAGTTAAAAACCCTTTTATTGCTCTAAAGGTACACTTTAACATAAGCTAAAGTACAGCATAATGTAGTGGTTCTGGTGTCTATAGCATACAAAGGCAGTGTTTACATTTCTGGCTAGTTACACCTCTTGTGACAGTCACTCAGGCAGCCACAATAGGTTCTTCTGTGTCAATGTTCTGCGTTGAGGCACTAAACATTCCCCATAGAGATACATTTATTAAATGCATCTTAATGAGGAGGAGATGCTAATTGGCGCAGAGCGATGTTTTTTTTTCATGGCACTATAGTGATCCTTTATCCTTCAGGTATCCTTTAACATGTATTCCTGACCCTATAGTGAAAACCCACCATTAAGGTGGCTTGCCCCTTCTCCCCCTCCCCCCATCCACTTTAGCCCCCTCGGAATGGGTTAAAACTCACCTTATTTCCAGCTCTCCATGGGTCCGCCAGCACTGGCCCGCCCCCTTGAAAACATCATCAAAATTGCAGATTTTTAGCCAATCCAATATTTGGCATTGGATTGGCTAAAAATCGGCAAGGGGCGGACCAAACGCTGTCTAAATATGGTCTAAATATAGATAAATTAAATGAAATTATCATACAGACTGGATAGTGAGACCATATAGACGGAAGAATATATACATTTCAGCAGTGGGTATAAAAGGCCAGCTGAGATCTATTGAATCTTTGCAATACTGAACAGAGTTAGTTCCAATGCTATGCCTACAGTGACAGGCTGTAGACACCAGAGCATTAAGCTGGAGTGGTTCTGATCTCTATAGTGTTCCTTTACATTTTTATGTGACTTGACATGTATATTGCAGTTACTTTCTTATAAATATAAACCAATATCACAGTCTGTTTTCTTATTTTTTTGCAGTAAAAGTGTGGTCAAACACATGGAAAGCCCTTCTAAAACATATGAAGATTTTGCAAATGATCTTTTTTCTGGTAAAAATTGTATATACTGCTTTGTCCATACTGCTATTTATGTTGACAGTTTTATTATGTAAAACTTGTTATGTATTTTTTTTTTTAAATCTTACATTTTAATGCATATAATTAAAACTAAACCATACATTACTTTTTTTACTTTAGAGCCCCAATCATAAGCAATAAATATAGCCTTTTTATATTTTAAAGGAAAGGTTAATTAAATTGTGCCTTTTAAAGAGAACACTCTGCTCACCCCATCTCCCACCGCTCGTCTGTGCAGTCAGCCCTGCTTACCTCTCTCATGACACCAACACATTAACTTCTTTCCTCGCACATAATTCTCGTTACGGTATATGACACTCGGTTCTATGTTCCTCTAACAAAGCACAAAATACACTTACAAGAGAAATGAGTACTGCAACTACAGTGCATATAATGTGCTTCTTCCAATAAAATGTTAACCCTGGTCAAAGGTAAGGCAGGACACCGTTAAAAAATGATTCTATCTATGCAGGTAATTTTTAACTGATACTTTACAGTGCAGTTTTATATAGGTCTCAAATTCCTTACTAGATTCTAAATTGTATCTAACCCATGACACAAGCTTTTGTTTTCTAAATTCTACATTATCCATAAGGTTAATATAAATACATTGAGTCTGATCTAATAACTATAACTACTACTGGATACGTTTTTGTTACCCAAAAACATTTAGACATTTATGTTTTGTAGCAAGAAATAAGAAAAATTCTTTAGAAAGCAAATGCAGCACGTTGGTTGAAGAAAACGAGGAACCTGTTCCTGTTGGTCTGTTGGCGGAGTCAGAGAAGCAGAAGCAGTTTGAGACAGAGGTAACAGTTTAAAGAACTGGGACATACTTTTGGTGGGAGTGAGGAAATCAAATAGTTTTTTGTTTTTTTTTAAATCAAGATTTTTTATTAAAGCTTGCATTTAAAATTGTTGCATAGATTCACAACACTCGCAGGTTTCCTGCAATTATCTGCACCTCACAGGGCAAAGGTGAAATATGACGACATATTAAGAATTTCCAGTATGTGAAAAGATATAGTTTAGGCATTACTGTTGGTGATTATTCCTAAACATCGACAGTACAGTGATATAGTAATATCACACAAACAAGAGGCTTCAGGCTCCCTTTATTAGAATTGGTAGATTATTTATCAACCAAAGTGTTCACCACGAGCATTCAGGTCGTGAAAGTGAATGAGAAGTGGACTGCTAGAAGAGACCTACTATACCCCCGGTGGATATGTCTAGAAAGTGGAGTACTGTTCATTATATTCTTTTCTACTTGCCATTTCAGGGTACTTTCTATACATATCATACTATACAAAAAAATAGGTGGAGCTGTAAAATACTTCCCTCTCTTCAAAATACAGCCGACAAAGCTGAAACAGAGGGAAACACAATAGTGCAGATAATTTTTTAAAATACAGAGTAAATCCGGTAACTTTAAATAGCACACTCACAAAAGTAGAGCCATAAAATAACCTGGCTCTGGTCTGGATGTCAGTAGGATCTTTAAGGGGAGATCCAAACCCCACTCCAGATGATAGGGAAGGTTTTTAAGTAGTATATTCAGGAATAATAAATACTTAAAATATCTATAAAAGTATATTATTTATTCCAAAAAGCAGGTCAGATAAAAAACAAAAGCATAATTAAATGTCCAATAGTCACCAAAACGCGTTTCGCCTAATAGGCTTCCTCATTTGGTGTATGCTGTACATCAAAGTTCTTGTAATTCTTTTATATCCGTCCGTTTTTTCCGGATTCGCAGTATTTTTCTCTGTGGAACGCTTCATGCGTTCCACCCGGTGTAGGCAATTGACTTCCGGTTCAGCTTGGTAAGTTCACTATCAGATTCCTGTTTTGCCGATCATGTGATCGGGAGCGTCGTTCGTGGAACGGACATGCGTTCCATTGAGCATACACATCCGCCTCCTACACTGAATATAAGCGGATATGACGGCTGTGGAATGCAAATGCGTTCCACCAACAGGAATTTAAAGAGAAAGCATACCAAGCAAAATATATATATATATATATATATATATATATATATATATATATATATATATACACATATACACATACACAAATGAAGTCTTTACTAAATTAAAAAAGCAAGACAATAGAATAAACAAAAGTGAGGATGGAAGTAGTGGTTAAAAAACATATGTATCACCACTCTTATAGAGATAGCATGGGAAAAACATAATTAACGATAAAAAATCGATTTTACCAATTTTATTTTATCAAAATCTACACATAAAATATATATCACCACTCCTATGGCGGGTACATGTAGATATAAATCTAATATATATTCACATATATACATAAAAGTAAAAGAGAGAGCTTAAATACTAAAAATTAACATAAAAAATGGCTTAATTCAAAATCTTGGTTCAGACCATTAGGGATAAGTGTGTTAAAATTATAAATACATCTCATCTCCTCCTCACCTATTTTTTTATTAAAATCTCCACCTCTCCAATTTTTTTGTACTAATTTAATTGCGCAAAAGAATAGGTCTCTTGGATTACTATTGTGATAGATTTTGTAGTGTTGTGATTCAAAATGTTTTTGTTAATCAAGTGGCTGGATAGTAGCAGCAGGCATAAACATCAGGAACTTTACCAGTTCAAAAATACAAACCACGTTACTTGGTTGTTTTAGAACAAAAACAAAGCTTATCTATATGAACCAAAAACAAAATCTGTAACACCTAGAAATGGTTTATATTAATCTTGAAATGTAGTTATAGGCTTAGCAAATGCAAATCAATTCAATGTAGAGTTCTAAGGAAGAGAATTGCCTCTGCCAGATCCTCTTTCATAGAGGCTCTTAAGTCAGACTTTATTATTTTTAGGGCTGAAAATAATCTTTCGACACTGACTTGGGTGGGTGGCATTGCCGTAACTATTCTGCCTACATCACTAACGATCTCAGGATAAACAAGGATGGCTTTTTCAACAGTAAGTTTTGATGAGCGATCATACTTTTCAACTTCTTTTAGTGCTTCATAAAACTCCTGTTGGAATTTTTTTATTTGGACATTTACTGGTTCTGTAATGCTTATGCGACTTCGCTTTCTTTTAGAACCTTCCATTTTGTGGCTAAGAAGGAATCAAAATCGAATTCTTCGTTTGAAGAAGATGATCCTGATTTACCACTATTGCTTAAAAGAACTTCATCCAGTGGAGGTATTTCAGGTCGTAATCCCTTCATGCGAACTGCTACATCATAGAGGGCCTTTTTCCCAGTAGCAGTCTGTTCATTGTTCAACAAAAGTCGGCTCATTGGGTCGACATAAATAGCCGCTAACAAGATTTCATTTTCCAGCAAAAGACTCTCTCTTTTCATCATTGAAGATGCAATGCCCTCAGCTAATAACCCCCCATTTTTGTTCAGGCGATATAACAGGCTCTTCCATTCCAAGAGGAATTTACCCGGGGTTAGATTCAGTCACATTGCAAACTCTTGGTGACAGTGAAGGGGTGAGAAAGAAGGTTCTCCAGCTCTTTTGTTTGTGTCCACTGGCTTTCAGTTAATGCAAGATTTTCATTGTCCATTTCTTCTATGAAGTCTTTAAGTTCAAGCAAACGTTTCACCATTAAATAAGTGCTTTCCCAGCGAGTTGTTTGATCCAAAATGGCTCCTTTTCCTGCACGTCTTTTCAAATTTGCATCTGTTTTCGGGGCCCTGGCTGCAACAGTTACTTGCCGTAATTTGCCAATTAGTGTAGCTGCATGGCGATCTTTTAATCCATCTCTTATGGCAAGTTGCAGTGTAAGAACACACATCGCATATGATGAATAGTAGCAAGCTTCAATGCTTCTTCAACAAAGTTGTCTAAAAAAATGGCAGCATTCTCTTCAGTTTCTAAACTTTCCCCAATACTTGCTGAACTGTCTTCCTCTAACTCTAATATCTGTTTGTTACCTTCTTCATCTGCGTTCATCTTCTCATTTGTGCTCAACATGTTAGAAGCGTTATCTGTCACAACACATAAAATCTGTTCCTTTTTAATTTCAAAATCTTCTAGAACACCCTCCACTAACTTCTGAAGGTAATCACTGGTGTGATGTGCCTGAGTGTCCTTTAATCCGAGGGTCCGTGTTATTGTTTTGTTATTTTCATTCACAAATCTAACATTAATAGCGAAATAATTGACTCTGTGACGTGTGCATGCATCCATTTTAAGGAAGACAAAACGTCCTTTCAGAACTTTCTGTAGTTCTTCCTTTTTACATTTGGCCTCCTCAATTATAAGTTTCCTTATACTTTCTCTTTCCAGAGAAACGCCAAGTTTTTTTGCCATTTCTCCATTTAGGCCTAAAAATGCTGTTTGTGAAAAGAAGGATAGTGGTAAACTATTCTTTACTACCATTTCAATAATGTGGTGTTTGAATTTTTCTGGTGTCATCCTTATGGTAACTTTGTCAGATATTAAGAATTTTCTTATTGGTGATTGTTCTCCAGTAGATTTCTGAACGTTTTTTGTCACAGAAGTAGATGCAATGTTTTCATTGCTATCTTTCTCATTCACGGCTTTTAACACTTTGGGATGAAAACGCTGTAAGTGTCTTTTCAAATTTGCTGTTCTTGTAGGTGCATTTTTATCAGACCCACTGAAACTGCTAAATTTTGCATCACATTGTTTTTCACCATCATCATCTTTTCTAATACATTGGCACATGTAATGTTTTCCATCACTTGATAATGCAAAGTGCTCATAAACAGTAGACTTTGTCGTGTTTGTTGTATACAGTCTTTTTGACATTATTTAGGGCGCCTCTTTTCCTAAAATATAAAATGTTATATTAATTACTAACTGGCATATAATTAGATTTTTAATATCAACATCCACAGTCTTGTAAATGTACTTACATGGCTTTTTACAAACAAATAAGCTATATTTCCCAGCACTAAACCAAGCCATGATTTGTCCTATGTAAAAAAACATGCACAGACATGTACTGTACACACACAACACAGAGCCTACATTTTAGTACTCAGAGCATATAAATACACTTACAAACCTAGGATAGACAGTTTCTTCCAGAAACATGTACACATGTCTTCCCTCATACAGACAAGCAGGCATGCAGGTTTTAAAATAAATATAAACACTTACAGTTGAATCCAAGAAGCTGTTCCACCAAGTTCTTCTAAGCTCTTCTAGCAGAGAGAGGTAGTTGGCCAGAAGCTGCTGCCTTCTCCTTTTTGTGTGCTGAATTGCTGATCTGCTGCTGAATATAGGGCAGTGGGAGGATCCAGGAAGGGGCATTTATTATAAAACATGATTTCCTTAGTAGAATCCTATAGTCATGTTTAAAGTTTAAGCTAACAATCAGAGTTTACAAGTTTTTATAGCCTTAGCTGAATGACATCAGTTTTTCAAATGGTTTACCGCTTCAGTCTTGAACTATTGATCCTCCATTCCCTTCACTTATACAAGTGTCTCTAGTCCTGCAAAAAACATATTTACTTAATCCCTTATCAGTGAGAGGCTAGGTTACTGTTGTGGTCGTGACCTAAATATGAATATTAATCTCTTAATACATAATAATTAAGCAATACGGAACAACATTAATATTTTTATAATTCATGGTATTATGGTCGAATATGTGGATAGAAAATACACAAAACGTTGTAATATTAAATGTATATTTAATATAACTATAATAAATAAACAGATGCTAGCAGAATGTCAATTTACTACAATAATGATAATACAAAACTACAACATATTACTTACAAAAGGTTGCTACATGTTACACAACATTTTACTTACAAGGCCCCAGCCCTTTGGCTGGGGTTAAGTCAGAGCTGGTACTACATGATCAGTCAGGTACAGGCAAAAAGAGAGCTAGCTTCTCCTAACATCTGGTTTTTATTCAGTGTAAGTAGGCTGGCCTGTGATGTCACTGCCAGAAGCACAGGTCTTCCTACACACTCCCCCTAGTGGTGCCCCCAAAGCATTACACTAAATATGCTTTACTGACATCTAGTGGTGCGTCTAAAGCATTAAGCTCATTATGCTTTTTTTATGACAAAGTCATTAATAAATACCATTACAAACCACCCTTTGACTTATGTCATAAAACAAACATTATAAACCTGTACATCTTGAATCTACCCTATTTTAACAGTACCTGCCTTACAACAAAACCCACCTTTTGAAGAATGATACCCATTTACCTGTAAAGTTATGACACTTTATTGCTTATTCAATTTTTTTTATTTTTTTTTCATTGAGCACATGCATCACCAGTTGGGAAACCTTGGCCTAAAATAAGCACATACCCACCCTTGTAATAATAGACAACTCAAACCATGTTTTATTAGATTAACCAATGATATTGTGTTCATGTGAGGATGTGTTTTGGAGCTTAATATAGTATTAGACACCACAAACTCATAACACCTATGAATCATGCACAGACCGACTCGATTTCTGTAGCCTTTGGCTGGTCTGTGTGCCTGGAATTTTCACAAACATTAGTCCTGGAAACTGGATACTCTATTCTTCGACAGTCTTATAGAACATACACATGGAGACAGGGATGAATGAAACAGTTCATGTGATCAAGGACTTTTGTGTGTTTGTGGTCACATTGTTTTGTTTTTTTCTTTCTTTATACCATTAACCACCTTGACGTAACAGTGTCCTGCTCCTGATGCATTTGTTCCGACTCTCACCACTCTTAGCTGCAATATTTTTTCTCCTTACAGCAACAATTGAGCATAGTGTCCAGTGCTGCTGCTTCTTCTGCTTAAAATATCCTTGCTTGAAAGTTCTTGAATGAAAACACAGGCAATGACGAACACAAACATAAATAATAACTGTGCCAATCATCAATAGTACCATTTGATTGGGGTGTCTTAACCATATTTTTTTTCTATGGCGTTTGGATAAATACCTACACACCTCTCTCCACATCCAGCACACTCCTGATTCACAGATAAACACAATATCACTGCTGTATCTACCAATTTAACCCAAACACTCGTTATCACTGCTGCATTTACCAATTTAATCTAAACACTCGTTATCACTGCTGCATTTACCCAATTTAATCTAAACATTAACCAAAACAATTACATTCCTTTTTACTACCCTTCTATTTAAACATGTATAGATAACCCAAAATGCCTACTTTCTCTTATCCCTCTTATCATTCTTCTGTTTTTTTGTTTTTTTTTGAACTGCAACCACTCATGCACTTTACACAGACACAAATCAAGCACCTACTGGACAATGGGGTTCCTTCGTTAGAGCCCTCCCACCCCAGTTTGGTTTACACAAAAATACCCCCTGGTCCCTATGGGTCAATTCCCCCCTTTCCCAGGCAAGCATACATACATACATACAATAATAATACATAAGGGTTTCAATTTCAATACAATCACTAGAAATAAGAGAATAGTATGCACAAAATCATAGCATAGACATGTTAAATAGACAATAAAATAAAACATTCAATAGCTCATCAAAGGTCAACATTTAAACACTGGTCTCCATCTGATATTCTATCTGTGTTCCAATGTCCACCCCTGGTTTCTGCTATATCTGAAAAAGGTAAGAAAACAGATCAGGATTACTTTTCCTTGTCACTTATAGCGTATACTGCCAAATCCTTTACTTAGCATATATACATATATACACATATAAATAAATTCCCTAAACTTTTCATTTTATAAACAATTTGTTCAACAAGGTAACTTTCTTAATTTTCTACTTGGCTCTTAAAATAAACAATCAGCTAATAGCTGCTTTCTGCATCTTCTCTGCAATTCAGGAAACACATTTCTAGCCAACCTAAACATGTTTAATAACTCTCCACCCTTTGGTTAAATTATAGAGGAGTGAACCACAACACCTCTTCCGCCTCTGAAAGGATATAGGTCAATATGTCTCAAAGTTCAACACTTCTGACAGCTATGAGTGACTCCCTATTAATTTCTAGCCTTTCCACGGACATGCTTGCACCTCGCGGCTAAGGGCCTGCACAACTAACCACCCTGTGATGGCAGTGGCTTTCCGCATGGGGGTGACCGCCCCCGCAAAATTATAGAGGAGCAAACATACAGCAGCCTCTTTTCCGGCTTGATTAAAGGTTCTGGGCCAATATGTCTGCAATTTAACCAGTACACTCACGTATCACTTATTGTATATTTCCTGGTCTCTCAGGAATTTCTATTAAATAGCGTATCCCCTTCCCAGGGCAATATACAACAAAAACTAGTCACCAAGGGTCTCTACGGTCATGATAGGCCACCCTACCACTAGTGTAATACGCCCTTTTTTTAAAATATATTTCCTGGTCTCTCAGAGATTTTGCCTATCCCTTTCCCAGAGCATATATATATAAACAATTACAAATAAGTTACAAAACGCTACTTATAAGTAATACAGGGTTTCAAATAATAATACAGGATAGAACTGCACAACAACTATTGGGTATGCTCCCCCTTATCCGGACACGTTTAAATACCCCCTAGCTCAGGTTCCCCACCCGCTACTGTAACTAAAATCACAGCCCACGTTATGGAGGTTCACCCGCTAGGCAGATACACCCTAATTCAAAGCATGGAAATATTAAAATCAGTTATAGATGGCTTCTAAAATAATATAAATCTTAATCTGAGCCCCTACACTTACTTTGTTAAAAATGCTAACTTGTTAAAATATTCAGACTAAATAGGACAAAGGAATTATTTTACCATTTTTTCAGTTCATTTGTTACCAGTTCCTGCATATGTCCAGTAATTCCTTAGTCCTGGATAATAAAGCTGAAAAACACTCCACAAATTGATTAGTTTAGGCAATTACATTTACAAAACAATGCAGTTTATTTTTTCTCATACAGGCAAGACTACCCACCCCCAACAAGGACAAATTCTCCCCCAGCTGTAGCTGAAAAGCATGGTCACACAGCTGTTAAAAAGGTGGTCTCTCCTTCATGAGTCAAAATCATATATATATTTATACTAATATTCTGTGTATACGCACACATAAATCTATTATTCACTGAATCTGCTTTACTAAACGTATCTTTTTCTTAACTACTAATTTACTAGACAAATCCATGAATGCCAAACAAATGTAAATTAGTACACAAACAGGGTCAAATTTAGCAATAAAACCTGGTGAACTAGTTTAGTGAAAAGTCTTTTCCTATGCAAATGTTAGCAAACAATGAAACTAGGCCTCAACTCATTCACACCATGTGGTCAATGGTGGATTAAAATCCACATGGTCAGACAAAAGGTAAAGTATATATGTTTTCTCCTATATACAAATGACCAAAGATTGGTAACAAGCAACACAATAATTCATCACTATGTTCTACAACAAGATACCTTAAAAACAAATATCTAATCCCTATCTGCTATCTGCATTCATTCCATTAAAACCAAATCATCATTCATTTATTCATTTGTATACAGACAGACAATTTACTGTATTATTTAAGCAAAATGCATAACATTTATATTTTCCCCAATATTCAAGCATAATCCTGCCGACTACGCCAAATGTGGTCGTGACCTAAATATGAATATTAATCTCTTAATACATAATAATTAAGCAATACGGAACAACATTAATAATTTTATAATTCATGGTATTATTGTCGAATATGTGGATAGAAAATACACAAAACGTTGTAATATTAAATGTATATTTAATATAACTACAATAAATAAACAGATGCTAGCAGAATGTCAATTTACTACAATAATGATAATACAAAACTACAACATATTACTTACAAA